CACACACACACACACACACACACACACACACACACACACACACACACGATAGAACATAGCCTCAGAGCAGCAGAAATAAACAGGGGTAAAGCAGTTGTCCTCCTAACACAATTTGAGAAGACCCCAATAAAGACCTGACCTCCAGGGGCAGAAATTCAGCCTGAGTGAAGTGCAAACACCTCCAAGCTGAGTCTGCAGAATCAACAAAAAACAAGCCCTGGGAGCAGCTGGGTTAGGAGAAAACCTCAGTCTTAGAAACTTGCATCTCATAGACAGTGGGGGTCTGACAACTGAGTAGGAAAAGACTGAAGGTCCTTCCACTGTTGAGGGATGCCAAGCACAGCTGTGCGGACCAGAGGAGTCCAGGACTGTGGTTGCAGGGAGAAGGAGCTAGCTCACACCTGGTGAGTCCAGTAGCAAGAGGCAGGGACCCTGATGGCACTTGCAGGAGAGCAGAGTTCCTGGTTTCAATTCCAGGGCAGAGAGGACAGCTGTAGTTTGCAGTCACTGGTGGGATTGCAGGGAGCAAAATCATTTGTGGGACAGTGTGTCTTGGGGTCCTAGCCATGGCTTCGGAGTGGAGAGCCCTAGGTTGGTCCCCAAAATAGACCTCAGAAAATAACAGTAAGAAGGACCTGAGGCTTGAGGCATCATTCCCCATACCTCAGGACTGCAACTTCATTACACTAATAACTGCTAAAAACAAACAAACAAAAAAAAAAAACACCAAAAAATAAATTAAAAAAATGAGGAAGCAAAGGAGAAAGAACCCAACCATAGATAGTTATTATGGGGATAGAGAAGAACATAATGGAGCTAAAAAAAAAAAAAAGTCAGTTCTTTTTCAATGAGAAATGGCAAATGGTTCCAAGCACAAAAAGAATTCTTGGAAGAACTGAAAAAGGAGTTTAAAAATCAAATAAGAGATCAAGGAAAAATTAGAAAAAAAATAAGAAAAATCCAAGAAAATTATGAAAAGAAAGTCAATCAACTGGAAATAGAGAATCAAAAATTATGGAAGAAAATGATTCCTTGAAAACTAGAATTGGGCAAATGGAAGCTAATGACATTCTTTTTTTTTTCTTTTTTGGTGAGGCAATTGGGGGTTAAGTGACTTGCCCAGAGTCACACAGCTAGTAAGTGTTATGTATCTGAGGCTAGATTTGAACTCAGGTCCTCTTGACTCCAGGGCCAGTGCTCTATCCACTACACCACCTAGCTACCCCCAATGACATTCTAAGACACCAAGAAATCATAAAACAAAATCAGAAGAATGAAAAAAAAAGAAGAGAAAGTGAAATATCTCATCTGAAAAAATAGCTGATCTGGAGAACAGATTGAGGAAAAATATTAGGAAAATATTGGACTACCTGAAAATTACTATAAAAATAGAATCTTGATATAATATTACAAGAAATTATAAAATAAATTGCCTGAAGTTGTAGAACAAAAAGGCAAAGTGAAAATAGAAAAAAATCTGATAACCACCTGAAAGAGATCCTAGGAGGAAATCTTACAGGAATATCATAGCCATTTTTCAAAGCTCCCAGGTTAAGGAGAAAATATAGGAAGCAACAAGAAGAAAAAAAAAAACAATTTAAATTTAAATATTGTTTAATAAGGATTACACAAGACCTAGCAGCTACTATGCTGAAGGACCATAGGTCTTAAAATACTGTATTCCATAGAGCAAAAGAGCTGGGGTTATGACCAAAGGTGACTTACCCAGCAAAGTTAAGTATAATCCTGAATGTAAAAATAAAAAAAATAAAAATCAAATAAACAAATAAAAAAGGACATTTAACAAAACTCAAAGACTTTCAGGTTTTTGTGACAAAAATCCCAGAACTTAAGGGAAAATTTGACATAAAATATCCAGGAAAAATACAAGGTAAACATTAAAGACCAATTATAAGGGACTCCATAAAGTCAATTATTTTACTTCCTATATGTGAAATATTAGCAGTACTCATGATTATCATCATTATTTGGGCAGTTTGATAGAAAGGCATGGAATGAGCTGAGTATGATGGGGTGATTTGAAACAAAACTGTCTAGGGAGAGATAAAAAGGAGCAATTATCTCACACAAGTGAAGCATAAAAGGAAAAACTGATACAGAAGAAGCTAATAAGGGTGAGGACGGTTAGTGCTGGAACCTTACTCTCATCAGGAATGGGTTAAGAAGGGTATTAAAGTCTTCTAAATTCCGAAAAAATAAATAACAAAGCAAGGGGATTAGGTGAGGAAGAGGATAAGGGAGGAACTTTTAGAGGGCTGGATAGGTTAAAGAATAGGAGGACAAGATGGAGAGTAGAAGTAAACAGAGGAGTGAGGAGGGATAGGGTAAATACGGCAAGAAGGATAGTGAGGAAAAATTGGAAGGAAAAAAATATACAAGTAATTGTAGCTTAGAATGTGAATGGGATGAATTTACCCATAGAATTGAAATGGATAGCAGATTAAAAATTTGAATTCAACAGTATGTTGCTTCTAGGAAACATTATAAAAAATGAGAGATACACACAAAGATAAAATAAAGGGCAAGAGTAGAATTTATTATGTAAAAAAAAATCAGGGATAGTAATCATGATCTCAAAGTTAAAGTTAAAATAAATTTAATCAAAAGTGAAAAACAGAGAAACCACATATTATTCAATATTGTTTTAGAGCATCTAAAATACCTAGACAGTATAAAATACCTGAGTGTATACCTGCCAAAACAGACGCATGAATTATATGAACATAAACATAACTTTTTATACAAATAAACTTAGATCTAAATAATTGAAGTAATATTTATTGTTCACAGGTAGGTAAAGACAATATAAGTTTAAAAATGACAAGTGTACCTAACTAATCTATTTATTCAATGTTATCCCAATTAAATTACTAAAAAAAAAATTACTGAGTTAGAAAAAATAATAACAAAGTTCATTTGGAAGAACAAAATGTCAGGAATGTCAAAGAAACCAGCGAAAAAGATGTAAAGGAAATAGATTCAGCAGTATCAGACCTCAAAGTATATCATAAGGCAAAAACATTGTTGAAGTATAAAAAGAATAATTTCAATTATTTTAAACTAAAATTTTCTTGTATAAATAAAATCTATGCAGCCAAGAATAGAAGGAATGCAGAAAATTGGGGGAAACAAACTTTCATAGACAATCTCTCAGGATATTGATGTGTTGGAATATTGCTGTGGTGTAGGAAACGATGAGCTAGTTGATTTAGGAAAAAAAAACATGAAAAAACTTGGACTTATGAAGGAAAATGGTATCCACCTTCAGAGAAACAGATGATAGGAAGAAATAAGCATAGCACGGTCTTACATATATGTATATATGTGTATGAGTGTATATGTATATATATGTGTATGTTTATAGCTATGTGTATATATGTGTGTGTGTGTGTACATATATGTGTATACATATCCACACTTAATTGAAGCCTTCTTTAGAGTGCGGGAGGGTAGGGAGAGGGAAAAATAAAGTAAAAAGTTCACAGCAGAGAACAAAAGAAAACCAACAAGGAAGCAAAGAAAAGCTGGGCAGCTTAGAAAACAATGTATGGTACTTATTATATAGGTT